AAATTGTTGCTTTGTTACCACACACGTGCAGGAAGCAGAGAGCCAAGGAGCACCGTAGAGTCTGGTCTAGATGTCATGTCTAGCTGGCTTCAGTATGTATTTCAGACCCTGCCTGGGCATGGAGGGAAAATGTAAGGGAAGAACAGGATGTTGGTCATTCTTCCTCTCACTGAACTAGGGATTTTAAAGTACTAAATGTACACAGAACATTTACTGATGCCACGTACATCTTTTTCTTTTCTCTTTCTTTTTCTCGTAATGGCACCCTGAACATTCTAGTTTATTTTAGAACATACAAGAACAGCCTCCTCCTCACTCACCTACACTTGAAGCAAAGTTAATGCTTTATCTCAAGTCTGTCTTAGTGTTAGCAATATTGTCTTTCTAAACTAATTGCAGTTGTATGTACAACACTGTCATAGTAACTGAACATGATTTGACCGATGCAGGGAATTAAATTGATCACCACAGGACAAATCTTCAAAATGGAATGTGAAATTTTATTTTTCCTTTGTATGAATAAGTATTTGAGGCTGTTAAAAAGTAGATTTCTAAGGTAATTTAATGTTAATATATCAAACACCTACGACCTGGCCCTCTAGTGTCAGGGTCTTTCTTTTCTGTTCACATTATGTTCTTCCTATAATCCTTCACTTTACAATCAAAATGTAATAGGAAATGCAAGAAAAAAGTTTGCATTGGGACAGATAATAATCATTTTAAACCCTGAACATTACTTCCATCTTTTAGATTCTCATGTCTGTTCATCATTCACAAAATGCTGCAATGAAAATAAAAAATCCATTTGATTTAAAAAGCAGTGGTTCTTATTACTGTTTAATGAACACCCTTTTAAATTGCCTGTTAAATCCTTTAGAACTAGTGCTCTAAGAAACTCATTTAGGAAATACAATTTCTGTATTTTCAGAAGAATTTTTCTTCGCTTTTTTCACACCCCTGAAATTGGAGTGCTTTCTTACATGATAATGTTTTTGGCTCAATGAAAAATAGCATTGCCCTAGCAGAGCCAACGATAATGATGTGTTCTGTATCTGTTACGGTTAGGCTCAACTCTGCGTGACAAACACAGGTAGTGACGGTGGCAGGAGCAAGACAGAAATGGACCTCTCGCTTGCAAGCCTGCAGTGTCCTGGTCTGGATCTGTAGTCTGAGGTGCTGGTGATCCATCTTGCTTCCTTCCTGTTCACTCTTTGTCCCTTTACTTCCAAGGTCGTATAACGGTCATAGAGTGGTCCAACACACCTACTCCATGTCCATCTATTATGCCCAAATTTCTGGTAGTGGAGAAAAGCAAAAAGACAAAGAGTAAAAGTTAGATGCTAGTTTTTCTTAGAGTTCCAGAAGCGACCAAACAACATGCATGTTTACAATACCTAATCCTGGACATGGTAACAGCAGCAGGGAGTCTGGCCAAAGCAATCACTTTTCGGAGCCTGCATGAGCCAAGATAAACATTATATTCCTGTGAATAGAGAGGACTGGAGAGAAACTGGGATCTGCCATAGAACAGTCAGTGTGTATTGGCAGTATTAACAACCATTCTATGGAGACACTGGATAAACACCAGTGATTTGCTCTCCAAAGTATTGCACAGAAGCAAATGTTGAAAATGAAAATCCTCCACTTAGCTACTGGCTAACCAGAAAATTGTCCCTTTCCCCTCAAGATGAAATAGCTCAGGAGAAATGTCTTCATATTCATAGCTGCCACGGACCCCACAACTGTGAAATGCCAGAACAAATTTAAGCTCTTAGATGCTTTATTTGAATCTTAGATGTCCCTGATTATTCAAACTAAAGTGGGGGAGAAGATACAGCTGGAGCTGGAGATGGAGAGGTGATCCACTTTTGGGATGCTGTATAGGTTAGAGACACAATAGTAGCAATGTGCAGAATTTATTTTGAGGTTCCTGAGAAAATCGCTGTCTCACACGGCTCATGCTGGCCTTTCATTCTTTCACAGATTCTAATTTGAATAAAGGAAGGAGCCACTAAAAACAAGTTTCTAGTGCACATCACTGCTGTGAATTCACACTTTTATCTGCAATATTTTTATAATTTCTGAATAAAAATATTGAAGTAGGGAGATGGTTCAAATTCAATCTCAAATTTGGCTAATGTTGACTAAAAAATATAATTAAGTTGTAGATGAGTTTGAGTTTTTCAACCCAACAATATAAAGAATTTAAAAAGCCTTATGGAAAAGGTATTTTCTGCTTAGGGAAAAGCTTCTATCATATTTAAGAACACCCTGTTTGGAGTTCTTTTAACTTAGTTTTTCTTCTTGATTCTTTTACTTATTAGGTTATATTTCAGTAAATTAATTAATCTTATGCATTCATTAAAATGTGCCATGTGTTAAAGCCAGGATTCTTTTACCAATTTTTAAAAGCTCATTTTCTGTGATGCTATTTTTATGTCTCATATCTAAAAAGCATTCTTACTATTTAGGAGTATAATACGGACTAATGGGATGTGAAATTTTCCCTGTGTTCCCTAATCAGATTATTTTATATGAAGGAAGTAAAATTGAAGATAATGTCTCTGATGAGCCTCAAGTCATAGAAACTTCTTTTTAGAAAAAGCAATGTCAAGTGGTAAAAAATTCTTTACACAGCTGGTAGATGAACTTTA